GGGTTCGATAAAATACCGATAAACGATGATTTTTGATCGATCCAGAAAACCGGGAAATTCAGACATCCGGGATAGAGATGGTCCCGAGCATCCCAGATAATTGGTTCTCTACTGTACTAATTTTGGCCACCAAACCTTGGATGCTGGCCCACTGTGCAATGTAATGATTATTAAAATTTAAAAGAGAGCTAATTTATGCAATAAATTGGCATTTGAAATCTAATCCGGTTTAAACGTTTACATACATTACAAAATTGAATAAAATCTAAACTTACATCCAAATAAATAAATTTTGAGGGTGTTTTTTGAATTTATTAAAAAGCTCATTTAAAATTGATAAATAATTATCACAATAAAGCTTTACGACTCAAATGTAGAATGGAAATTATTAATAAAAATTGAATGAAATATTGATTAAAGGCAAATACAATAATGTAAGAAAAATATTCCACTAAATTAAAATGAAAACTTATTTAAATATCATACTTAAGGTTCTGAAAACAACTAGAAAGATTAAACAAAATTTGAGAGCATCTTAAGAAAAGTTTCCTAAGTAAATGTCATGGAAGAATGTGATTTGAGAGTCACCTCCTTTTTAGAATTCAGTTATGAGCACCCTTGGAGCACCATCCATCAACAATAAAATAGTTACACCATCCCAAAAAGGCACCTCTAAAATTTTTCCCAGTGAAGCATTTATATCCCTCATAGCTATCCAGATAAGGATAGAAACATCAGGGTAATTTGAAACTGTGAGCTTTTTCCCGTAGTAACCTACAAAAGAAATCGGCTAACCGTTTAAGTAATGACAGGGAGGGATATTTTTTTGTCATGAGGTTAAATCAATTTTAAGGTATTGATTTTGACATAATAAAAACCTTAAAAAAGCAGAAATTTTTTTAAAAAACTATTTTTAAGAAAAATGAGTAGCTTGAGAAAATATTAAAAAATGTCATTTACAATGGGGGAAGTTTGAACCCGCCTAAACCCCTCCCTTACCTACATCTTTGGATTTGGGTGACTTCTGATAAAATGAAGCATTGACTGGCCTTCAGTTGATGTAGGAATTCACTTGAGTTCAGGAACATATTGCAGAAGAAATTGCATATTTATTATGAAGTAATTTTTTAAATGAATACTTTAAGACAATCCAATCTGTATCCACCAGAACACATATTTTGTTCCTTAAATAAAGGTTTCCTTTCTTGATGGGGCACATAAAGGAAAACTAAAATGAATGTTAGTTAATTATATGTCAATTTAATATTATCCAGTGTGATATATGAGATGCATCTATTGGTTTTTTTTTATTACACATCATCTTAAAAGTAATGAATTTTCCTCAATTTATCTAACCAATCATTTAATGCTTTGAAATTCAATAGTCCCAGATTTTCTGAAACTTCTTTTGCCTTTTTTATAAAATTTAAGATAACTTACAGGAATATATCTTCCTCATACCGAAAAAAAAACAATTGAATATTGCTGTATCAATTTCACTGCTTCAGTAGTATTTCTCAGTGATTCAGTAGTTAGTAGTATTCCAGAAATTCTCATTTACTAACAAATATTTCATGGGTGTAAACAATTCTTTTGTAGACCACCAATGGATCCTAAACCACTGCTTAGCGACCACTGCTTTATTAAATTAGTACTCAATTTTCATTTATTCCAAATATCCATCTCAAATCTTTTTTATTTTTGCTACAATAACTGTATCAACTTTTTTTAATAATTTTTTGCACTTCAAATCCTGTTAGATAATATAGAAATAAAAAACATGAATGCAAAACCTCACTTTGTTATACAACTTTGCTGCTATGGCAAAACTCAAATATGATTTTAAATTTACTTTATCCACATTAGAATATTCTTTTAAATTAACAATCCTTCTTAATCACTCAATGGCCTGACCACTTTTATTTTTTTATTGTTCCTCTAATGCAACCCAGGTATTTCTTAGGTATGGAGTAATTCCCCAACTCCAAAATTTCGTTGAATGTGAAATTGCTTTTCCTAACATTACAACATGCTTCATTTCAATTGCATAGCTACTTTTTTCCCTTGAAACAATTATCAGCACATTATTTTGTATTTTTCTTTTGCTACCTTACAATTTGAAACTTTCTACAGTGTCCTCTAAAATGTCACTTTTTATGAGGAATTAAGGATTTTTTCTAAAGGGCTTCCTCTGCTAATTAACAGAATTATCCTGAAATAGAGTGTTTCTTATCAGGCTGCCAGTGGGGTAAGACTCCTAAAATAATAATTTCAGTTGCTTCAAATATGAAAAATAAGTCTCCAAAGTAGTTTCTACTTGCATAAAATAGTTGCCAAAACAGTCTTCGTCCAATATATGCTTACAATACTTATGCTTTAATAACATTTATCTAAATAACTTTAACTTTTTAATACATTGTGTGCGTGCATATATGTACAGTATAGAACCATTTATCAGATATTCAGAAAACCGGGAAAAATTTTGCTCTGTTCTCCTGCCATTTTGAACTAGAACGATTGATTGAGGGAAAAAGCGGAAATTTGACTCATTCTCGAAGCTGAATAGAGAAAAATGTGGGGGTAGGTATTTTCTCCTCCTTTGCTGAGAGAAAACTTTAATATTTCTACCATAACCTTGAAGATGTTTAAGTCAAGAGAGGCAGGGAAGGAACATATGTTTTATTTTCTCTAGTGTGTCCAATAGAATCGGTGGTTTTTCTGATAAGCTGTCATCAATCAAACATTAATGATCGGCATACTGATATCGTTTTCTCTTTGATTTACGAGGGGGAAAGCATTGCACACGCATATCAGTTAACAGAAGGTGACAGAGAAATAAAAAATATATATATATCCCTATAGTTTAAGAAAAAGTAAAAAAAAGTAAAGTGAAATGGAAATACAAAATATTAATTGGAATATTAAACCGATTTAAGTATGGTTATCTTTTATTCAATAAAAGTAGGAATATAATAAGGCTGAATTTTATTATTTAAAAACAAATCAGAAGAATTTAGTAAATTACTACTTAAAATGGCTGTGATACTGGGGAAAAAATACAAAAACGATCAAGATTTGTCTGGACTATTACTACTAAAATTCATAATTTATCAAAAGAAAACGAATAAATTTTTATTATTAATACAAATTAAATTATTTCAAAGAGAGTTATAAAACATCTGTTTGAATCCAAATTTGAGTAGTTAGTTTTTCTTTTCCAAACCATTATTTAAAAAAGTGGACTAAATAAGAAAAATATTATAACATTTAATTAAAAATGCAACTAAATTTTGCCGCTCCTAATAATAACATGATGTTTTAAATAGAAGCGAAACAAAAATAATAAATAAGTATGAATCTTTTCTCAACTCTGATTCGGTAAAATTTTGAATCTGGAACGAAAATTCTGAAATTGAGCAACAATTTCCTCTGAAAGTAAAAAGATAGATACATAAGCCCGTATGAATATCATTCTCAATATCGCAATTTGTGCTTGCGCAATAGAGGATTTTTAAAAAATCCTTTTTTTTTCTGAACCACCAGTCATTAGGTGCATTCTCAATATCCTTCTTTTATTCTTAATCATTTCTGGAGTGCCTTCATTTGGATGTCCAAGTTAAGGAAGTTGAAACTTCCGCCAAGAGTATTTACATGTTAGGTTTTTTTTCAAAATCCACTTTTATAACTCAATTTTAGTTATTCTGGATTTATTATAACAAATTATCATTTTATAATTTCGGATTATACATTATTATTAGCAATAATTATTACAAGCAAAAGTTTTTGCATCGTGTGTTACATTTATCTATTTGACATTGATTAACAAAACAATATTTTTCAATTGAATAAATTCAGATTTTTTAGAAGTGTGGTATAATTTGCAAACTTTGTTTGATGTGGAATCACATCTGCTTTTATATAAAAATGAAAGGAGAAGATTGTTTATTCACGATCGCAATGCTTCAATATGCCCTCTAGCTGGAAGGATATTTTCAGTCTTTTATATTAACTTTTAATTCATTTCTAACAGAATCATTAGTAGAGTAGAACGCTATTTTTTTCCAGCAGCAAATAAGAAGCAAAATTTCCCTAAAGTAAAAGCAGCAGAATATAAAACAAATGACCCAGAACATTGGTTAATCATTGGGAAACAGAACGTGTCCAACATTTGAAGAACAATTTCTCAATACTTTTTTCATTCTAACAAACTTGCAACCAATAAATTCCGATTTCGGGATCGCATAATAATAAATGAATGAATAAATAGGATTACGCCAAGGAATAAATATGATTTCAGAACAAGCGGAACTGCAATAGTTATAGAATATTCTTTTTCTTTATAGAATAGTACATATTTCTGTATCTATATAATTCGGAAAACAATAACAACAAAAAATCTGAATGACTTGAAATCATATCATTTGAGCTTATTATTATTAAATTTTTATTGTTTTCTTGGTAAATTTTTTTTTAAATTTTGAATGATCAATTTCAACTAGAATTTCACTATTCTGTTTTTAAGTTACATATTGAAATTCATATCAAGATCTAACAATTATAAAATTTTATTGTGTGGTTTGTCATCTTAAAGTATTAAATTGATAATCTATGAATATATTATTTGAGGATAAAATTTTGAAATGAAGAACATTTCATTCCTGTTTTTTTCCAAGTTTTTATACTGATTTTCCTGACTTTTCCAGGTTTTTTCCAGTATAAAAAAATTCCCTGTTAATTCCAGGTTTTCATGGTTTTCCAGGCGGATGAAAATTGCATTTCATAGTAACTTTGGAATCCTTTAAATGCAGTGGTGTGAAAAATAACTTTAAAACAAATTTACAAAGCAAAAAATTATACATTAAAACATAACTAGAATAGATTTTTCAAAAAGCATAGAATGCTGGAAGCCCTGAATAAATAAAAAGTAATTATCACAAATCATTGATCTGAGTTTAAAATGCAGAATATAATAACTCTGAAAATAAATAAAAATTTCACACCTTTCCCTATTTTTGGTTTGAAGATTTCTTTCTATTCCTTCCATTAAACTGTCAAACCACTGAGCCATAACACATTGTTTTTCAGGGAGTTGATTGCTAATGATATTTTGCCTCAGCCGATTAAAATACTGAAATGAAAACTACTTGTTAACAACTTTCATCTTAAAAAAATTTATAAGATAATTACAATTATGAAGTATTTTAAAATTTAAAAACAGTAGCATGCTAAAGAAAAAATATAAGAATTAAAGGAATTAAATTTTTTAATAAATCGTAAGACAACTAGTGGAATTAAAAGTAGCCATTAATTACTAAGAGTCACAAATTTGTTGAATGAATTATTCACAAAGTACTTTGAAAAGTTTGGATAATTTTTTATAGTATATGATGTTACTTCTAAGTAAATTACATAGAAACTGCAGGTTCGAACATCCAATTTGTGTTAGTGGAATGAAAAGGTTAGGAACTTAATATAACAAAGCACGGCTGCTCATTAGCCACTGATAGGCACACACAAATGAAGTTTTATTTTACTGCATCATGTGTAACAATATCAATGAAACAGAAACACTATCTGAAGAAATTCCACATTCTGAGCTTTCACAGAAAACAAAACGCACTAGCACTGGTCAGATATTAAAATTGATACAAGTAGCATGATAACAAGCAGGAAAGAAAAAATAGACATATTTTAACTGATATCAATGACCACATTAGAATCCATCATTTTCAGATCATACAGATGGGAAGACAACATGGTCGGAGAATCTCCATCATACAATTATTTCCAACAACCTTGTGCAAAAAGGATTCTGACCAAAGAGCAAAGCTCTGACAACTGTTTTACAAGAAGAGAAAAAGTGAGAGATAGAACCAGCTGTATTTATTTTACTATCTGATTTAGATAACTTTGATGCCAACAAGCGACGCTTAAAAATTAACTATTAATAATTACTTGAAAAATAAAATGGACACTATTTACTTGCTTATGATATGAAATGTGACATTTATGCCCCTTCAAGAATCATTGTGTAATTATTGAAAAAGGTGTAAACAAAACTCATATCTTTGATAAGTAATGTGAGTGTTTTGAGCTCACTGATTGAGAGAATGTACAAGTAGTGGTCAATAAAAACCTACAGCTTAAACCTACAGTATAATATCTCAACTATTAGTTTAATTAATACTTATTTATTTCATTGTTCATTCTTTAAACCTATTTTTTTTAAATAAGATTGATTCACTTTCTAATTAGCATTTGAAACTAGCCTTTTTTAAATGTTATTTTAGTCTAAATATCGGTACTGCAAATTTTTTACATCAAAAGGGAACCAAAGGAGAGAAAATATGTATTTATTTGCAAAAGAAATTTTAGTTACTTTTCATTTATTTATTTTTTATGTATAATTTATCAAAAGCCTTTGTCTTATCTAATTCAACATTCTTCAGTAAATTAGATGTCATTTAACCAGAAACAGAACATTATTGATTAAAAATTCATGTAAAATAGTATTTATATAGAATTGAAAAATGCATATTTAAATTTTTGTTTACCTTAAAGACCCATTATGAAGAAATCTAATATCTGATTAATTTAAAAGTTTTATAGTTTCTTTCAAAGTTTTATTTCTAATCTATCAACTGTATTTAAAAATTTTCATCACTCTATTTAACTGTTCAACTCTAAATTTAATCTTTCTAAAGATACATCTGATGATTTAGGATTCAGGACTTTCCACTGTAGCCAGATTATGTGATATCAAAAGCTATTGCACATGTGGGGATGCTCTCTCGTCTAGTTTGATTGATGAAATAAGATAAGTAATCAGACAGCCGGTAAAAGATCTGAGAAATGTTGTTTAACTTTTTGTTCTTCCAGAATTTCATGTTTAATGCCTCAAAGCATTTAGTTATATTTAATAAAGAAAATTGCTGATTGTAATTGTTTTCTATAAAAACAACAAGATTTTAAAAACCAAGTAGAAATGTGTCATGATAAGCAAAGAGCATAAATAAGTGACTTTATGATTTAATTGTAGCAAATCAAGCATATCAAGGAAAAAAAAGATTTATCAATAGTACAAATCAAAATTTGCAAGCAACATCATTTTAAAATGTTGAGATTTCAAAAACCATGCAGAAATTTATAGTATGACTGCTGCAAAATGAGCAAAAGACCATGTGAGTTTATGATAGAATCTTGTACTTTTTACAAGTTTATACTCATAGCCTTAATATACCAATTCAATTAAGCAAAATATCTAAAATCCGAAATTTTCTGATAAATAGACATACCAAAACAACGAGCATTCTGGATTTCTGAGGTTATACTATATAGATTTTTCACTTCATTTTTATCAGAGTTCTTTTCCAATAGCTTAATAAAACTTAGGGTTAAAAAATGTTCAAAAATAATAGGTTTCTAATAAGTTATAATTTAAATAATTATTAGAATATTCTTTTGAGTAGTATTTTTGTTCACTCAATTATAACAGGGAAGATATTACAGTAAGACCCCGCTTAACGCTGTTTCGTTTAGTGCTGCTTCGGTTTAGCGCTCTTTTATTTCAACCCGGGGACTCCCCCAAATATGTGCATAACATATCCGAAACAGTGCAGTTGTTTCTTGTTTGGTGCGGTGCTGTACGGACGCAATTTTATCATTCGAAACATTTGTTGACATTATTGTAAGTACATATAAATTTATATAATACTATAACGATCAGTACAGTGACAAATATTATGATCTTTAGTTTTTATCATGGGTGATAACGAAAAACAAGAAAAGAAAGCAACCAGAAAAAGCATTTCACTGGAAACTAAAATGCAAGTGATTAGAAGATTAGATTCTGGTGAACGTCAATCTCAAATTAGCGCTGCATTGAATTTGGCAACTTCAACAATAAGGACAATTCTTAAGAATAAAGAAAAAATACTGCCATCGGCAACTGCAACTAGAATTACCCGTTCTAGAAATAACATTATAGAGGAAATGGAAAAACGACTGCCTATATGGATTGACCATGAAATTGAACGCAATATGCCATTAGGCCAATCTATCACAATGGAAAAAGCTAGAAGAATTTTAAATTACATTCAGGTTGACACAAGTGAAAGTTTCGTTGCTATTCGAAGATGGTTTAATAGATTTAAACATTGAAATAATCTTCACAACATAAAGATTACAGGAGAAGCAGCAAGTGGTGATACGAAAGCGGCGGCTGAATTCCCAGCGACATTAAAAACAATAATTGAACAAGGAAACTATCCTCTAGAATTGGTTTTTAATGTTGATGAAACAGGCCTGTATTGGAAAATAATGCAAAAACGTAAATTTTTATCCCGTGAAGAGAAACGATCACCAGGATTTAAAGCCGCAAAAGATCGCTTAACACTTCTACTGGATGGTAACGCAAGCGGAGATTTCAAATTAAAACCACTACTAGTTTACCACTCCAAAAACCCAAGAGCGATGAAAGGCATATCTAAATCAACTTTACCTGTTATTTGGGAGTCTAATAAAAAAACATGGATAACTATGAAAATTTTTCAGGATTGGTTCACTGAACATTTCTGCCCATCTGTTAAAGGTTATTGCGAAATTAAAAAACTTAAACAAAGAGCACTACTATTAATTGATAATGCTCCAAGCCACCTAACAAATTTATCAGACTTAACAACATGCATTCCAGTCGTAGTGGGTTTTTTTTGCCGCCTAACACAACTGCCTTAATCCACCCAATGGACCAAGGCGTTATATCCAATTTTAGGGCTTATTACTTGCGGCGAACATTAAAGCAGATGTTCAACAAAATAGACGGAGAAGAGAAGCAATCAATAAGAGAATTTTGGAAAAACTACAATATCATGAATGCTGTAGAAAACATAAACCTTTCCTGGAATGAGATAACAGAAAGATCTTTGAAAGGAGTATGGAAGAACATTTGGCCCGATTTAAGTAAGAGCGAAGACATTGGACACTCTGTCGATATGGAAGAAATAGTGGAATTGGCAAAACAAACCGGTTTAGATGACGTAAATGTGAAAGACGTCAAAGAAATAGTTCAAGAAACAGAAGCTAGTCTTTCTAATGATGAGCTCAAGGAATTAACTGAGCAAGAAGAAAACAAAAATATTGATAGTAGTGATTTTGAAGAAGAGCAAAAAGAACTTTCGATGGCGCTTGCAAAAAGGAGTTTGACCACTATAACTGAAATTATGGACCAATTTGTTGAAAATGATCCAAATTTTGACCGGAGTTCAAAAGCAAGACGGGGTGTTATAGATGCTTTATCCAGTGTTTTTACTACAGTGCGAGAACGCGAGAATCTCGCATATTTTTCTTTTCTCGCAGTAAAAAATTATAAAAGCGAGAAGTTCGCGCACTCTATTAATCAATTTCAAAACGCCCAAATTTTGGAAAAAATTTCGTCCTTTGCCATTTTGAATAAAATCCATTTCACTTTTCTTCCTTGATCTTTCATTATTTTGAACATCGGTCCTTGTTATCTAGCTTCCCTATTTGCCAGTATTGTTCAGAACCGGTGCGGACAGCAGAACCCCTCAAACCCCTTTCAGAACACATTTCTCTGCAGCCACGTTTTCACCGTAGGTAAGGTTTATTCATGTAAGATGTTTACATTTTTTGTGCATGAATGTAAGATGGACAAATACCTTGTTAAGACGGCATCTTCTACTCCGTAGCGGACAAATGAAAATGAAGCAAATGTCGGTAGAAACGGTCAAAACGAAACAAATACGGATATTTTTCAGTCAAATAAATATAATAGTTGATGAAAAAGTAGATATAGAACATTTTCCAAATGATGATGTAACAAAAATATTCAATTAGAAGATGTTAAAAATGTATTATAATTAAAGAAATAATTTTTTTCCAAGTCTACTCGTGTTTTTTANTAGCTGATGAAAAAGTAGATATAGAACATTTTCCAAATGATGATGTAGCAAAAATATTCAATTAGAAGATGTTAAAAATGTATTATAATTAAAGAAATAATTTTTTTCCAAGTCTACTCGTGTTTTTTTATTTTTAAAAATCTCACTTAACTTTTTGAAATCTCACCTTGTTTTTGAGTAAGGGTGAGAAATTCTCTCCCATTTTTTTTCT